TTAATTATAGTAATTAGTATGTAATTAAGAAAAGACTTAGAAAAATAATGAAAAAGAAAAATTACAGAGAAATTATAATATTGTTACAGTTTTCTAGTTATACTTTCAAAGAGTTTTTGGTACAACTAAAATTATAAAATTACAATTTCAGATGTCCTATTTAAGTTGTTAATGAATATAAAGATGTTGGCATTGCCTTACATCTCTTAAAGAACTTATTTGTACAATTCTTCATATAACAGAACTTTCTGTATTTCTGTTGTATACATAGTGCTTATACTTTGCAAAATTGGTCTTCTTTTAGAAATTTCTATTTCAATAATGTACTGCATTTGGTCTTTGTCTACAGGACTTTATGTTCAATTACTAATTCTCTTTTTAAGTTATAAAAATTAAAATCTTTTTGAATTTTATTTCTAACTAAACTTGAATCATTAACCTAAACTGTAAAGATATAGAAACTTAATTGCTAAGCTATAGAACTCATACTCATCCTATATATTTTTTTTTTGATATTAAGATAAGATCTTATTTGTTATATATATATATAACTAATTAAAGATTATAGTAAGATGTGACAACTTAGTGAAGTGGATAAGTTGTCATACTCCCAAGTAGTAGGTTGTAAGTTCAAAACCTACCAACAGTGAAATTTGAATAATTATTTATGTAATATATAGACAGTATTACAGTGATGACATTTTATCGATCAGTTAGGATAGGATACCTGTAACTATGGTCACACCAGCATGATTGGCAGGTCAGAGGCATCTGTGTAACCTGTTACACAGAGGAATGCAAACTAGTACCAAGTAGTGCAAACCTAAAATAAGTCTTTAGGCGATGTAAATCTGTAAAACTGGGAAGCCAGAGCCCACTTGGAAATTCTGAGCAGAGAGGTAATACAGATCTTTAATGGTACTACTGTAAAGGCTAGACCTAGAAAATGGATACCAATATGAAGGATTCAAGCAGGCAAGAACTCGAATAAGGAGTATCACCAACCAGGCTGTCAGATTTTGGACCAGAGAAAAAGGATATTGGGCCGGCCTCAATATACCAAAGACAAGTTATAGTCCTTCTAGGCTATCTGGATTGAAAGTCTGGATTCAAAGCAGAAGTATACTAAAAATACTAGGGATATGCTGTGAAGTTAGTACTAGGGTCTGGGTAAACTCTATAAGAGTAGTCTGTGTTAGTGTTCTAAAAGTGAGTAGATAGTTAACAATAGGAGGCCTCCTGTGTCTTATTGGCAGGTAATGTATTCTGAAATATATAACAGCCTAGAAACCAGTACAAAAAAGGTAGGTACCATACTGCTCAGATAGTATACCAGGTAGATATATATGGAAGGTTAGTTAGGGATTCCAATATGACAGGGTAGATAATCAGAAGGTTTAAATGGATAATCTCCTAGTAGGTTATAGGTATGGCATCTAGTGTAGAACCTTAGGATGGATTACTTAAATAGGCAACCAAAAGTTGCACATGTGACTAGCTGTACTCTCATCTCTGTAAAAATAGTTGTAATAGCTAACCTGATAAAAGTCAATAAAGTATTGCCACAAGTATGACCTTTAACAAAAAAAAAAAATTATAGTAAATTCACTAGAGAAAAAATGTTATAGTTTTTTTTAATCAATGTCATTTTGTATATTATATGAAAATACAAGTTTAAAGTTAGTAATTATTTGATTTTTTTGATTATATAGAAGATTAATTAAAATGTTAATTAGTTAATAAAGTATATTAAGATGTTATAAAACTTTAATTAAAAACTTTATATTAATAGAATCATAGGTCTTATTTATGTCTTAAGACAGATTTATTTTCTAATAGATTTAATATCTTCAATAAAGTTGTTAAATATATGTATTAAATTATTAGTTGAATTATCTAGAAATACAACTTAATTATAAAAATTGAGAATTAGATGTTTAGATAAAATAATAAAAAATTAATTAATAAGAATTTTGATATATAGTTTTTTGATATGCTCAATTAGACTAATAGGTTATGTATTGTTAAGATTTTTGTCAAATAAAGATTTTTTGAATATTGGATAAATTCTGCTGTTTTTTTATTGTTTGAAGATGTTTTGTATAATTAGACATCTGTATAAAATTGTAGTAAATGCTAGTAACATATTAGATCCTAAATATTTAATCATTTTATACCTAATTCCAAGTAATATACAAGCTTTGTTATTAAATAGTTATTGCATAGTTTGTATAATCTCTGTTGTAGTAATTTCACTAAGTATAAAGGTTACTATTTAGTATTAATACTTTGAATAGGTTCATATCCTCAAAGTTTTCTTTAAAATTCTCTAATTCAAATTTAATGCATCATTACTATTTGTTTTTTTATTGTAAAATCATATAAACAAGATTGTAAATTGGTCAAAAAAATACAATTTTAATCTAATAAATGATCATATAGTTTTGAATATTTTGTTGAACTATAAATTTTTAATAAAAACGCTTTTATAAATCTAATCCAATAATTAATTGTGTATTAAATATTGTAAATTTTCAATATCCAAGTTCGTTGGATCCATTCAATCGACATCATTGCATATAGATAACGTCTAACCCACGGAAAGATAGGTTAGACGTTATTTATATGATTTTACAATCAAAAACAGATGGTAAATGACGCACTTCGTAGTGAGTCAAAATACTCAAATTTCATAAATTCGCTACTATGTGCTATTTTTTGTATTTTTAATTAAAACGTACTATTTAATAATCATTTATCCAAAGTGATGTTACCATTTAAAGGATTGCAACGCCTATAGATTTTATCGGGGTGATCCTTTACTATGTACTGTATGTGGCAACGGCAAATCCTCCAATTTATTATTATATATTTAAAGGATATCATATAATTAACCTTATACTACAAAATATTTGGAGGATTCATCAATTAATTTACATGGGGTAAATGGAACCCTAACATAAATATTGTATTTAGAGAAAAAAAAATCCTATTTTAAAACATTTCATCATATGTAACATTCCAATCTACCAAACTTAAATTACTGTCCAAAAATCAAAGTCAGGTAGAAATAGGTAAAGAAAAAATGGTAAAATGACTTGAAGTACCACATATCCAGGGGTGACCTTGAGTATAAACTTTTACAAAAAATAAATTTAAATATGACCAATAGCCAACTACAAATTTGACTTGACCATCGCTTACTCTCTAAAAACAAAAAAAGCAGATTTTTAGACAGATTATGGCTCATTAAATCATAATAATAAAAAACTTACTGCAGTTGTTTTCCAAACCATTTCTGGTGGGCTAAAATCAAATACAGGGGATGCTAGTATTTCAATCACGACTTCAGCTATTATGTACGAAAAAAAACATCAAAAAAAATGAAAATGTAACAGGGTTACGATTTTGTAGATTCTTAAAAACTTACTATCAACCGGCAAGGAACTTTTCCATTTAACAATCCGAGTCGAACCGATATTATATTTATCTCCTTCTACTGGAGATTGTACCACGATGGAGAGAAACCCTGGTGGTTTTGTTGATCCTTGTAGAACGGGAAAGGCCCATACAGATGTGGCAAGGAAGTTTGTGAGTAGTAATATGATTATTAGTGGTGGCGGACTGTCGATTTTCATTCTTTGATGTCGACGCCGACGTGTTTATTTGATAAAAATTAGATTGGAAAATTCCAACTTTTGCGGACGAGGTGGTGGAAGAAGGGAAAAGACGAGAGATGAATTGATAAAATTTGAACTTTAGAAAAGCGAGACGTTTAACAAATTTTTGAAGCATTTATTTGTTTTTTTTTTCTTTTTGATAGGGGAAATTGTTTATTTGTCGAATTCAGCAAAATTATAATGTATATGTAATGAATTGTTGGCCGTATGCGAAACGGAATATATCAGAATGATGCGACCAACAGTGATTCTTGTGTGAGAATTCTTTTTAAAAAGAACAAGGTTCTCAGGCTTAGATGGCTTGGTCTTATATATTTGATGAGAGTAGCCTGGGCTATGCAGATTTTAACTTAGAAGCGCATGCGTTTATGATGTGTACTTACATTAGGTATGTGTGCGCATCCCGTGATATGACTAATTTAAAAATGGAAAATGTGAATAGTTGATTAGTTATTATAAAAATCGAAAGAGGCGTAAATGCTTTCAAAAAATAACTTGATTGTTCTTGCATCTCTGAATTATGACGTGTACGTGTGTACTAGATTTACTGACATTATTTCTATTTTGCAGTTAGCATCTGTGTCTATGCATTCAGTGTTGGTAAACAAAGTTGTTCTTGATAGTTTATCGTTATGCAGGGTTTAATATGCATAAATCAAGTATTATTTTCATTATACGATCTCTTTTCAGATACTCATTACTAATGAATAAGTTATCGTTATAAAGTCTCCTTCCATTTAGCATAAGAATAAATGAGAATAAATACAATTAACTCCATGACAAATCCATTCTTCTCAAGGATAGACTTTTGTTACAAGTCGTTATATATGGAGTTAACTGTTTTGAAATTAACTGTCTTGAAATTTATCTGTAAACGTAGCCCCTATTTGAATAATGGAGATAATAGCAATCCTAACCTTCGCTTCGCTTAATCTGGGTAAATGTCTTGTAATTGAACAAGAGTCAATTCGCGTCGTAATATATATACTGTGGTGCTAGAAGTCTATACTAGACAACAAAAATAAGCAATATTTTCAAAAGCTACTTGGCAATTTTATAGAGCTTATTATGATGAACAAAGTTACCGGTCAAATTTTTAAAATTTTACTTTTGTTTAAAATTGAAACATATACTGTACAGCGCGGACCATAGTACGACACCGATTTTCTCTAATACTATTGGGATATACCTCCACCTTAAAATAGGGGTATATTCATTAATTCTTCTATATAGAAAATCGATAAAGGATTTTCTATATATGAGGAGAATTAGTAATCACCATTCTAGGGTGGAGTATGTCCCGGTAATATTATAGGAAATCGGAGAAAATATTATTTATTCGTCGTTTTTTTTTTTTTGTCATCTCTTTAAAGAATCATGAATTATAATGTTAGTAATTCAAGCGTTTCTTAATAGAAATGATTACATCATCTTTTGTACATTAGGTTTTTCTTGTATGAATAATGGACTAAAACTCATATTAATTACCGTTGAAGAAATGATTAAATGAATAATTAAAATAAATGGGTTAAACTTCGTATTATCTTTATTGTATATCAAATGACGTCAACTTAAAAAAAAATATATAATATATAGTCGGATTTTCCATAAAACTACGATTTTCTCAAATTCAACAAAAATTTTTTGTATTTATTAAGATAATTTAACTTTTCAGAAAATGCAACAAATTTAACTGGCTTTAGCAATACTGAACCCAATATAATGAATTACATTAATTAAAGTAGTTTCAAAAACTTGATGTTTTGCAAAAATTATAAGATATTTATAATATTTAATATTATCTGTTATTTTGATTCCAAATGCTCTTAAAGTTGAATTCAATATAAATAAATAAAGTTTTTTGTTTTTTATTTAAGGATAATATTAAGTAGGAATATATAATTTAGAACTAATGTATATTCCTAACTATACTGTTTTTTAGCATAACATTACATTCTCATTTTCTAATAAAAAACTATATAATTTAAACTAAGTTACTATTAGTCACAGAAGAGTTGAAAAAATTTTATTATTGTAAGTTAATAAAAGCAATTAAATATAGTTTTCTTAATTTATAAGCTTTTTTTCAGACAAATTTGTCTAGAAAATTGTTAAAAATATGCTTATGATTTACTTTTTTTGAATTTTAAAATATTTAAATAAAATTTTATTTAATAATATTTGAAAATAAGAATTATATTATAGCAATATTTAATTTTATATTATAAAAAAAAAAATATATGTTGTTTATAAGTTAAAAATAGACAAATTTAGAATAAATTTTTAATCAAAAAAATTATTTACAAATTTTTGGTAAACCTTTTAAATATTAATTTTAAGCTTATAGTTCTTAATATAATATTTTAGTTTATATAAAGAATAACAATTTTTATTAATAAAATTTTTGTAATTTATTTATAAAAATTTAAACTTGTACAAAATATAAAATTTTTTTTTGTTTTAGAAACATATTGTTAGAGAAGTTTTGGGTTACAAAATATAGAATTAAGAAAAATATAACAGATTATCACTTGAAAATACTAAATATTATAAAACATTGCATCATAAAAAAGACAGAATAATTTAACAAGACTAAAACATAAGTGCAAGGTCTTGGTTTATTATTAAAACAGTTTTTATTACTATTATAGTCATAAAAAGAAACAATACAAGAGTTCAAGATTAAATATTTTCTTATTAAACTCAACAGTTTCAGATCCATTATTATGATCAAGACCTTAAATAACCTTTTATAGCACAAACAACTAGCTTAATTTTGTAGATCTATTTCAACAAATGGTTATAGTTCTTAATTTTGCATCATTATAGCATTGTTTTAGTTAGGTAACTTGGTTTCCAAGTTTCTCAAAATACAATTAATACATAATAGTTAACTTGTTTAAGAGACATTCTTGCTGTAAAAAAACATGGATCAGAATGGCACAATATTAGAGCAACTCTGATACCTATTTTGCTTTTAACAATATGAAATTTTAAAAAATCTTGAAAAATTTTTAATAATAAAAATTTTTAAATCTAATTTTTAAAATTTTAATATATAAAAGTTTATTAATATTTTAAAAAGTTTTCTATAATAAAGTTTATAAAATATATTTTTAAGAATATATTTTATAAACAAAATATACTTTAAATTATTAATAAATTATTATTTTATTTTAAAAATACTAAATACAATTTAATTTTTTAGTCAAATTTGTCTGAAATATAGTTTAAAAGATAGTTAAAAAGTATATTTTTGAATAAAATTATTAAAAAATGTAGCAACTTAGTAAAGTGAATAAGTTGTCAACCTCTTAAATAAAAGTTGTAAATGCAAAACTCATTAGAAATAAAATTTAAAAAAATATATCTATATTATAATAACAGCATTCTGTCAATTAGTTAAAATAAGATATCTGTAATTACAATTATATTAGCATAATTAGCAGATTAAAAAGCATCTGTATGATCTTGATTATACAAAGAAATGCAAATCAGTACTAAACAATGCAAATCTAAAATAAGTTCTTGTAATTGTTTAAATTTGTAGAACTGAGAAATTTAAAACCTATTTGAAAAGACCTGAGTAAAAAACTAATACAGATTTTTAACAGTACTACTATAAAGTCTAAATTTAGAAAATAGATACCAGTATAGAGAAATTAAGCAAACAAGAATCTTAAATAAAAGGTATTACCAATTAGATTACTAAAAGTCTTAAACTAAAGGAAAAAAATATTAGATCTTAGAACCTCAATATACCAAAAACAGATTATAGTTCTACTAAACTATCTCTAATAACAAAGCAAAGATATATTATAAGTACTAGAAATATGTTGTGAAGTTTATACTAGGATTTAGATAAATTTTATAAAAACAAGCTTTGTTAATATCTTATAAAAAATAAGTAGATTAGTTAACAGAAAAGCTTTCAAAGTTTTACAGTTAGGTAATATATTCTGAAATATATAATGAGTTAACAAATATACAGAAATAAAGACCAAAGTTCATTTAGATAACACTTAGATATATGAGAACTTGTGTACTATCTGTTGAATATAATATAAAAATCAAATTATTTAAATAGATAATTTTTTAGCAAATTACAAATATGATAGCTAGTGTAGAACTTGCAAATAAACTACTTAAATATATATACAAGTTATATAATTATAATTAAAAATACAATAAAGGTAGTAGTTATCAATAATCAATAGCCTTAGTGAAAACAAAAAATATAAAATAAAAAATAAAATTATTAATTTTAAAATTAAACAAAAAAAAAGTTTTTAGTATTAATTTAAAATATTAAAAATATGTAAATTAGGTTTTTTTTATTTTTAAAAAAAATATAATAAGGGTGTAGTGACCTAGTGAAGTAATCAGATTGTCAACCCTCCAAGTGGTAGGTTTGGTGTTTAAATCCTATCAACAGTGAAAATTTGGATAATTACCTATATAATATTCATATTATAACAACTGTTACTAATGATTGGGTTAGGATACCTGTAATGGCAGTCACACTAGCATAACTGGCAGGTTATAGGGCATTTGTGTAAGCATGATGTTACACAAAAAATGCAAACCGACAAATCGGATAGTGCAAACACTAGATAAGTCCTTGTGGTCATGTAAATTTGTTGAAATTAAGTAACAAGAAGTCTATTTGGAAAGATTCAAGTAGAGAGGTAGCTGGATCTTCAATGACCCTACTGTAAAGGCTAGCTTGGGGAAATAGATATCAAGAATATAGTACTCGGTCATAGTAGCTGAATGGGCAAGAACCTCTGAGTTGAGAAGTCTTAAAAGTACTACCAACCAGACCATCAGAATAAACCAGAGGAAAAGGATATTGGGCCAACCCGATATATCAATGAACTAGTCATAGTTTTACATAGGCTATCTGGATTGGAAGTTTGGTAAAAAGGCAGATGAAAAGGCAGAGGTATACTAAAATA